TCCTCTATTCTGTACCATTGGTCCACCTGCCTGTTTTGGTACCAGTACCATGCTGTTTTTGTTACTATTGCTCTGTAGTATAGTTTAAAATCTGTTGGAACACACCTTTAAGTGAACAATGAAAGTGGTTTCCAATGTTTTTTTTTTAAAATGAAGATAATTCCAACCAAAAAAGAACTATTAACATTAATTAAATATTAATTTTATACTTGCTTTATTGTTAAAATAATTTCTAATACTTGGGCTGGGGATGTGGCTCAAGCGGTAGCGCGCTCGCCTAGCATGCGTGTGGCCCGGGTTCAATCCTCAGCACCACATGCAAAAAACAAAGATGTTGTGTCTGCCGAAAAAACTAAAAAAAAAATAAATAAATATTAAAATTCTCTCTCTCTCTCTAAAAAAAAATAATAATTTATAATACTCATAGTATTCACAATAAAGCAGAAAATACAGTTTTAACATTAACATTAAAGACTGCCTTCATCATAGCCTGATTTAGTGAGCCAGTGGAATGCCTGAGATTATCAGCTGCCCAAGACCTTTCTGTGAGTCTGTGAGGTCCAAACTACTTTCATATAGCACTAAGACATCATTTGCCCTTTGCATTTTCATTCCCTCACAAGTGTGCCAGGGAGTTTCCCAGAAGCCACATGACATGTGTTGGTGTCACTGCTCTGACAGATGGTGGAATACATGCTTATGTTCTCATGTTTTAAATTTCTCCATTTTAGTTTCTAGTATGGCAAGTATCACTAGGGACAACCCACACCAGCATAGGCTCACTGGGGAACTCAATCATTTAAAAAGGGATCCTGAGCTCAAAGGGCTTGAGAATCATTGCTTCAGCTTAAAAAAAAAAAAAAAGAAAGAAAGACAATAACAAAATAACTGTTTTTTGAAAATTTTTGGACTTTACTGCACATTTAGCATACATAGCTCCTCAGACTCATTAAGTGGACAATAATGATTTAACACCTGTTCTTCTATTCATTAACTCAGTTATTTCAGAATCACTTATTAAGCACAAAATCTGCAATTAGCATGATACTCAGGCTTATAGGAACATAAAAAATAGATAATACTATTGAGTGGATAGTATATTTAGATAAAGATAAATCTTTAACTAAAATGGTAGAGAACTTGAAGCACCATGTAATTAAATACAAAATTTTGTACCACAGACATTTAAAAAAGGGAAAGGCAATCAGAGATAAGGGTCTGTTATCTGTCTGCAGTGGGTTTGTTAGTATGGGTATGATACCAACGAGTTAAGACTACAGTCTTGGGTTGATATGACAACTATTCTTCTAAGACAGGGATGAAATTACTTTTTTTTGCAACTAGCAGAATATTTTAAATGAGCACAGGGAAGTTAACAATTTGTTAAGAAATCTGATTGTTACCTCCTTTGCAAAGCATAAAATCCTTTGAGGAATGTAGACCAGTAAGCACAGTGCCTGACATGGTAGATGCAGGCACTATTAATAGTACTTATTATTAATTTATATATTTACTTGGAAGTTTTTAACAGTTAAGTGAATGAGTAGAAGGAGAAAGGTATTCAAACTCTTCTTTCAATATTTTTTCTTTTTCCTTCCTTTCTTCCTCAACTGCTTAGGATTATCTGATCTCTTTTTCCCTTGCTTTCTTCCTCCTAAATTCATTTCTGCAGAATGGCAGAGAGGTAACAGAGGCCAGGGTGTACATCAAAGAATCACTCTAATTTGTCTACTTGTCACTTGATGTTGAGAAGCAGAAGTTTACTAATACCATTGATCTAAAATATAAAAACTACATACTCCAGAACTATTTAACTTTTCCCTTATTTTATGAAGCACTTCGAATAGGGCCTGGCACACAGTAAACCATTAATAGATACAAGCTCTTAATATCATTGACATCATCAAATATTCTCCACTACAGCATAAGAGTCCATAAAGTTAAATTCTGACAAACAAAAATGCACGTGGCAAGAAAGCTTCATGATGCTGGGAAACAGGAGTCATTTCTGAATCATCTCATAAACTCCAATGTTGGCCTGAAGACATTGCACTGTCTTGTAAGTTTTCATTTCACAGCGCTTGATCCAACCACAGTACTAAAGCCATTAATTGAGTTGGCTGCCCCGGGGTGGACTGAACAGCCCTTTTCCATTAAGGCCAGTTATCACAAACAAGTCTGCATGGCAGACCTCAGATCCTGGCCTCATTAGAGAACTTCATTTGCTATCATGGAAAGTTCTGCATGTTAAAAATGAAAATACAAAAATGTGAAAATTGCATGCAGGAACTGTTATCATCAGAGGAAAATTAAAATGAAAGGACTGAATGGAAACGACAGACCTTTTCATTTACATAATTATTTTGATAGAAAATCTTCTCACTCTGACTTGGTGGTAGCAGGACAAAGGGAGCGTTCTGATTTTGTTGAAATGACAGTTTCTCTCCAGGTAGCGCAGTTGTTTTTCTTTCCTGCCCACCCGCCGCCCCTTTCTTTGTAATGATACTGGAGATGGAACCCAGAGTTTCATATATGCTAGGCAAGCCCTCTACCACCTAACTCCATTCCTAGGCCTTTTTATTTTTTAATTTTGAGACAGGGTCTCACTAAGTTGCCCAGGTTGGTCTTGAATTTATAATCCTCCTGCCTCAACCCCAAATTGCTGAGGTTATAGGTGAGCACTACTGTGCCCAGCAGTACCGTTTTTGTCTTTATGGAGTGGCATTATTCCTTTCTAATTTCATTATTATTGTTCTTTCATTTAATGATGAAGTACCTAGGAAGCTACAACTTCCATCCCACTTACTGTAAATGTTAGGTAAGAAGACGTTCAGCTGAGTACAAGACTTAGCAGTAGTACACAAACCGAACTTGCTTTTAACTCTCTTAATAAAGGTCCTAAAATATTATTTTGCCCAGCAGGAAAACAAATACTTCTCCATTTTGTTGAACTTTCATCATTTTTCAAATAAGAAACAATACGTTGGGTGTAAGCTCTGAATAGGACTTTGGATCACTCACTGCTCCATTGCCCAACTTACAGATGTTTAGGGTTATTTCTATAACTGCTTGCTGAAGTACAATGCCACCACTGAGCACATATCTCGACAAATGAATATGATCCCAAATCATTTCAAAGACCTGTGTGATGCTTACTGCTTTCTTCCTACAATAAACTAAGGAACACATAACATTTTAAAAATGCCAATTATTGCCAGGAGCAGTGGTTTATACTTGTTGTCCTGCTGCTTAAGAGGCTGGTGTAGGAGGATTGCTTAAGCTCAGGAGTTTGAGACCAACATGAGCAACACAGCAAGACCCTGTTGCAAAAAAAAAAAAAAAAAA